AGTCCTCCTGAGCCAGTGGACTGGAAAGTAGGCGAAAAGGGGATAGTGTGGACCACCAAGTGCGTTAATATCGAATCTAAGCTGGTAATCAGTCAGCAATACGCACATGCGATTACATTGAGGCAATTGGGAAACCATTATGATGAGATACACTAATCTTCGGATCGTAAACTGCTTTAGCGAATTTTGGGCATCAAGAGACAAGAGACTGGAGAAAAAGCCATAAAGGTACCAAGGTGACGGCTAAAGGCAGGTGTAATAAAGAGTTATTAAAATAAGCATGAGATGTTGCATTAACGGCTTCCTTATACATAGAAAAAAACGGTGAAAATTTACAGTCCAATGAAAAATGTAGAAATGAAGGCAGATGCTTTTAGCCTCTTTTGTAATAAATGTCTACAAGTGAATGAAAAAATGCATTCTTAACTGCGAATAAAACTGGCGCCTAACGAGAAGAAATACCCCGAGGAAAAAAGGCCCCACTATAATTCGAATATGAGCAAAAGAAGTAAAAGTTCGACTAACGGAAGCCACCTTTCATCCTTCACTCATCTTATGTGACTCTGTTGTGGATAAAATGTGGCATGATACGCACCTGAAGATGCGGCCAAGATGCTTCCAATGTGGGTTCGTCCTCTTCAGGATCGAATTCCGCACCAGTGGGATTACTTGGCGGCGGAAGGGTTCGAAAAACATTCTCCTCTACCATTTTCACCACAGCCGGGTAGATGGCCTCTGTGATGATACTTCCACCATTCGTTCCCGCCCCTCCATTGGCTGATCCCCCGTTAGAAGCACTAGGGCGTGAGTCAAGAACACATTCAATGAGCTCGTTAAGGATATTGCGCTTAACCTCTTTTCCCTGTAAATCGGAGAGGGGGTCGGGCTGGAAGTCAAAGACGACGCAGCATTGCTGCAGCTTCTGGAGGAAAAGTTGTTCACGCTCTTGTGGCGTAGCAGCATCTGGGTAAATGGAAAATCACGAATCATAAAGATTTAAAAGGGAATTATTGCAGGCAACTGAATTCAACAAACGCGTACTCATGGCAAACGGAAAGAAGATAAAAGAATAATCTGAAGCGAGCCTAGAAGTGGAAGTTCAACCAGTCTTTGATCATTCAAATACCCCCCCCCCCAGCCAAAGTTCTATTTCAGGCAAAACTTTACTTCCTGAATCTTGGACGTGAAAGTTTTATCGATAGCTTTCTTAATTATTTAATTGACGACGTGATGAATGTTAACCAACTTGATGGATTCTGCAAATGGTTAAAAGAAGAGATGATCGTCATCACTCGATTCCACAAGCTCCCACAAGAAAGCATACAAAAGCAAGCCTATATGTGTTGAAACCACAAGAAAAATCACGTAGTTCAATACCAATGAACGATTCTACTCCGATGATAACGATGTTGCTCGAGCTAACATTCATTCATTCATTTAATCTTTTTGTTTGAATTTAGGCTGCACATCACTGCTGAAGGTGGAGCAATAAGGCACTTCAATAGAAATAGTGAGGGTAGCGAACTAAGTTTCTAAATTTACCATTTGATGGTCCCAATAGTACCATGGGGCGGGCGATAGACTTACCTCCACGTGGTGCACCCTGGGCAACGTAGTCTCAAACGCCAAAAAAAGTCTATAAACTGGCAGTTGACTACGATAGACTTACCTCCACGTGGTGCACCCTGGGCAACGTAGTCTCAAACGCCAAAAAAAGTCTATAAACTGGCAGTTGACTTCTGACTTCTGGGGAATATCAAATTATGTGGCCAGTGGTATTTCTATTTCACTAATGAGGAAAAAACAACAAAGTAGACACTAAGACGAAAATATAAATAATCACAAATGTATAGCTGAGATTTTTAAACCTATCATTTTAACAAAATATGTTAAAGATAAATAGAAATCAAAATCGTGCAGAGCGAATGAGGGGGGGGGGCACCATGAGTTCAGAAGGGTTAACATGAGGATGGACAGATTCGAACTTCAGAAATAAACGAGTGAGTGAAAAAATTAATACACGCCACTGACAAATCAGCACAAGTCCATTACTAACAAGAGATCTAAAATTGGTTCTTTATATTTAAGAACAAGGGTATACGAAAATAGTATTTCATAATAAACCAGCATAGAAGCACTATTTCCAATCAGCGACCTTGAAATCTAGAAGGAAATCGAAATTAATAAACGTAAATAACCCAAGCCACGTTTTTGAAACAACAAGGGAATTTTGAGAAAAAATGAACATTTTTTGGAAGAGAGACTTTACGCTTGAAATTGATTTCCATTTGCGTAAAACAGTCAAAGCATAATTCCAGATAAAAATATTTGACCCTAATTGAAATTAAAAAAGACCACTGCTTAATTAAACCTTTTCAAGTTCTAAGTCGGTAAAATTTAAGAACGATCTAAAGGAACAAAATCAGATCAGATCAATTTTAATTGAGATATCAAAAGGAAACACACCTTTGATATTTGGCAGGGGAACAAGATGCCTATCCTGACTAACGTTGAAAATTGATGAGGAATGACGTTTCTCCTTCAGAGGAATGGGAGGACCAGCATAGTTCTTATTTTTCACGAGAGGTGTCGGTGGTGGATGAGAATCCCCAGTAGCAGACAGAGACGATCGAGAGGATTCTTTTGAAGAATTGGAATTTTGCTGGGGATTGTCAGTAGTATCCATGTTGAATCTACACCCTTACAAATACAGATATATAACAATCAATTTCTAAAGACATATGTATGAAAAATTTGCGCTAGTCAGAAAAAAATAAGATAAAAACGAGGTATTAAATTAAATTATTTATGCGAATCAAATAAAACGCATCCGTAAAAATACCTAATGCAAATATATATAGGGCGAATTGTAATAAATTAATAAATTGACAGCAGAAAATTAATGAGACCATATATCCGGAATGAAAGCAAAAATACAAGTTCATTGCAAAATACTTCTATTTTATTAAACTAAAACATTCGGCAAAATTTTATCTTATTGCATGACCCACTTTTATAAACGGCCAAAAATTTTATTAAAGATACAATGCGCAAAGGCCAAAAATCGATCTATTTCATTTATTCCGCCTTAATAACAAACGTTTAAACAAGCCCTAGATCTAATTTTACACGATTTAATATTCTTTTTTCTAATTTATCAAGTTTTCCTATATTAAAAACTTATTAATACTGTTGCAATTAAACCCGTTATGACTATATTGCTACCTTTCTTCATTTCTGCTTATGCTGACATTACTTTGCCTTTTAAGACAATTCATTTATTACGATCCATATCAATGTACCTTAAATAAATATTTTTCAATAAAACGACTTTAGAATTATTTTCATAAACTCTACTGATTCCAATTACCCATATTCGGTATTACCCCGCTAACCAACCGATTAAATTCACTGTAAGGCAGGCATTTTATTGAATTTTGGTTGCATATGCATACAAAGTAACGCGTTTTGGGAATTGAATTTATAGCGCTTTAAACTAAAAATTGGTCTTTGTTATCAGCAGGTGATGTTTGGTTATTCGATATTCAAATTTTTCTAAAATTCTGTTACTGACAATCATTTCTATTACTTTAAATTGCCCAGACCCATTATTGTCTAAAAAACGAATTCCACTTAAGTTTATATTTGATTTAGATAAATTGCAATTACTGTGGCTGGGGATTCCTTATAAAGCAAGCTAACTCTTCATATCAGTAATTTCATTTGTTCATCCAATACACACCAAAACACGAAACAGTTTATTCGGGTTATTATTTACTAAGAAGAAGATAAAATATTGGTGTTCCAGTAACTGAGTTATCTTTTAAGAATAAAAATTAATAATATGAGGGAATAAACTCAGCTATGGAGATTACAAGTTTTGAGAGGAGGGAGAAATAAAGGAAGAAATATGCAAGAAGCGTCATTCCTAATGATCTTCCTTATCCTTCTTGGATTGCGCTACTTTTTTTGCTAAACAATAGTATAATGCTACAACTTTTATTTACCTGTAGAGCGTTTTAACTGAACTTTAAGTCGCTTGTGGTCAATTTGGTATCCATTCATGGCTCCAATGGCGCGTTGAGCGGCTTCACGGCTATCATAACTCACAAAGCCGATTCCTTTGCTTTCTCCAGTTTTGTTGTCTATATTCACTTTTGTACTCAAAACTCGACCATATGGCTCAAATAGGGAACGTAGATATTCGTCATCTACTAATTTGGGCAGATGGCTAATGTAAATATTCGCCCCCTCAGGACCGAACGGTTGTTTAATATGTTTTGGAGATGCCTTTTCGGTGAACGGAGGTCCAGCAACAATTCGCGCCGGCTTTGTCGTTTTTGTGGTTGTTGAACCTTGATTTTCATCTATTGTGAAAATTTCCCTTGTTATGGGAAATTTCAGCACTTACCAAAATAATGAGGAGCAACATTTGGAGTGGGAAAGTTGGGATGAACAGGTACCCAGTACGCATTATACAAATAAGGAATAATAAATGAGGCGAGAAAACACTGCTGTGGAAATAAATTTCCATTGTAGGGTCCGGTAGGCATATTGTTATTAAGGGATAATATTTCAGGCGAATTATTTTGCATCCACGCGTATTCCATATCCAATCTTTCCTTTTTGACACCTATGACTGTTTCAATTGGAAATGCGATTTGACTTTGAGCTTCAACATTTGCTGATTCCATGTTTTAGACCGATAAAACACTAGCCTTGCTGTAAGGATTTGGACATAGTTCTAGTATTTTATAGGAAATTTTAAATGAGTAATATTCAATGGAGTGAATACGGGCTTTAATCGCTGATTTCTACTTAGAGCTCATGTAAATTCGACATATATGATTAACTGCCTTTTCTTTGATTCACCAGTTTAAAATTTTATTCAGTTGCCTACTTTAGAAATTTTGACTTCACCTAACTATGTTTACTTTTAATCCTTTTCTCGATGTTATTGTTGCATATCCCACCGGAAATATTCGCAATTGAATGAAACTGATCAAACTAATAGTACATTTCTTCAATATTTTTGTTAGAGATTATAAAATTTATTTCGGCATCTAAATGTATGCGAAAATTAAAAGAGTGAATAGTATTTTTATCGAGGTAATTTCTTTGTTCGAATATTTAAATTCAATATAAGGCAAATAACTTTTAGTAGATAGTCGATAACATTAGTTACAACCTTGGTCAGGACGTTCAATGTGCCTTTTTCTAATCAGGCAGCACTTACGTTGCTGCTACTACTTCCTTTCTGTTACCAATACCTAATTGTACTGCTTACTCTTTTTCCAACTAATCCTTCTAATTGTAAAGCACAGCATTGAATGATTTTACTTCCATATTTCAGTTTTTTAATGCGTTTTATTCTGTCAAATTTATTGATTTATCATTATTATAGCAAGGTTATAGCTCCATGCCTCACTGACGAAAGTAGTAAAACTTAAAAGCTTGTGTAGTGACACTATGGTAGCGCAGGGCTGTTAGCTAGTGTAGTTTAATTAGGTGTACACAATTTCATCACATATTCGATGTTAATTAAGTTTGAATTTTACATCTTGTGCAACGCTGATATACAGAGGATATGTAGAACGCAGTGTATAAGGCTACGTCTTATAATTAAATATCTCCAATATTTAAATATATTTTGAATATAAACGTTGAACTGGGAAAAAGCTTGTGTTTTGGCATATTAGCGATTTGTAAGCAATATATTTACAAAAATTTATTGAGTTAATTGACTATAACTTCCCATAGTCGCTCAATTCATATCAATGTCACGGCTTCTCGTTAGAGACTGGTTGTGCGCCAAAAATTAGAAATTTTTTAGACTTTGACATTTGTAAATTTTAATCACGGTCGAAAAAATATTTATTATCGGTAAACTACAGAAAACTAATAACCCAAAAAAACTACTGAAACCTTTTCAAATTGAATTATTAAGTAATAACACATGGATGATTACCATAATCTAAGTTGAATGTGCAAAAATATAAGGGAATGCCATTCACTTATCTATATCCGAATTCATTGTTATCTATTTAAATATCAATTCAAGCACAATATATACTTATAAATAATTGACTTACATTTTTATTAGTTCTCTTTTTATTCTTGCTTTCATAATTAAATACAGATTAATTAATATTTCCTTAGTTTTAAGCAATCAAACTTGCTGACTGATGTAAATGAATACTTTTCGAAATGGCAGAGTACTTGGCTAAGAACTCTCTTTATGTCGACGACTTAAATATACTCAGAATATTAGATCCTATAATAACTGAGTCGACAGCTGAGTTTAAGAATCAGTGTACCGACATGTTAAATAGTAATTTTGGTCAAACTCTTTATTTATTATGAATAAATCTTATTGAAACTTTTGAACCAGGAATTTTTACTGAAACTAAGGCTTAATTTCATTTTTTCTGATTGTTACACTCAGCGTTAATTGCGTTTACCTTTAAAGAACCAAATTAAATCTATAAACTTAGTCTTTGGTTCGTTATTTATTTTAAAGGTGCGTTTTATTACCACTAACAGCACTGGATAATTTCCAATCGGTAATGAAAACCGCGTACGACACCTTTGAATCTGTCTCCGAGAGAGTTAAAATTTTAAAAACGAAGGTAATAAATTCATTAAACTTTGCTAATGGCACTTCGATCTTAAAATAATAAGTAGAATGCCTTGTAGTGTATCTTCTCTCAAAATCGATTGGAGACTGTCAAAAAGAGAAAGCGAGAAGAGCTAGAATTACTGGAATCTCGAGTCTGCGAAGCTGAAACTGAATGTGAAAGGTATGCTCAAAAAAAAATTGAATTTCAAATGCAAATGTCATTTGCATTACCCACATTGGTGCTGACAGTAATTTGACATTTATTTGACAGGTTATGGATTTGGTTGATTTCGTCTCTTTAGATGTCACGTATTTCATCTGTCATGTATTTGCCCTTTTCCTAGCGAGCCGACTTTATACCAGAGCGTCATTGCGGGTTTTGGAAACTAGTATTGTTATTTTTTATTTGTTTTTTTTAAGTGCTGGCAATAATAATTTAGATCTAAATCAGTTAAGGAAAGTAGGTAGAGGGAACATGTAATGGAGCATATCTCATTGTGATTAGTCTGAATTAGTCACGTCAACAAAGCTTGATAAGTCTGCACCGATGATCGTGGAATCACTGGTCTCAAAATTAGCCGCAAGTACGTATTTTTTCTAAAAAATTAAACATAACAGGCGGATATCATTAAATTCCGAAAATCCGCCTATTTTCTACTATACTGAGATGAAAACCAAATTTAACTCATTAATTGTGATTGACATACATTTTATTTATTTATTTATATCAAATGGCTGGCGTTTTGATGGTTATCATTAGCCCTTTTCACAGAGGGGAAGGAACATCAAAGTGAAGAAAAGTCGAGAGGGGGGAGGGGAACAGAAGAGTCTTTCAAAGACGAAGGTAGAAAAAAGGTGAGGTGAGTACTGTGGAAGTAGTCGAATATGACATACAATGAGGTCATGACAGTTTGAAGTCAGAAGTCAACTGCCGGTCTATAGACCTTTTTGCCGTATGATTGTACGTTGCCCAGGGTGTACCACGAGGAGGTACGTCTATCGTACACCCCTGGTTGACATACATTTTGCTCATAAAACTGACGCCAATAAAGATTCTTGTGATTTGGCAAAAGTTGATTATTGATATTATTTTAATTTTGCCCTATTACTAAGTATATTAATTTAAGTAAATATTGGTTACATCAAACTCCTTTATACTATTTATATGCTTAGCTCTTGTGATCAAAGCGGTTTTTGATCTCACATGATCAAATAAATCGAGACATGAATTGCCTTCAACTACTAACTTGTCATCTCACTT